CTGGTACTTGCAGTCTCAAAAAATAATTATTTACGAATAATTAAATACAAGAATTATTTCCAAGACCATTGATGATGGGTATTTGGCAATACTTGAAACAGCTGTATGGTCAGCTAAAAATTCAATTAATTAAAATAATATAAAAAATAAATTTTTGTTGTTGTATTTCACTAATGTTCGAAAAAACTTCTTTATGAAATATAACAAGTTTGCTATTAAAAATAATAGTCACTTTCGTCTGGAATATTTGACGTTAAATTACAACTTACATTCACAAAATATTGGTCTCGCCCGTGCGACTAGTGGAGTAACATTAGTATGACTTTCTCAGCATTACGTTCCTAGATTAGGTTCTATACATAAGAAAGAACAAATCGTACAACAAATAATGCCTCTACGAACAGAATAGTATTGAAATTTAACAATTGAAAGTAAAATTATAATTAATTAATTAATTCAATTATTCTACAGCTGGTTTATGATTTCGTTCTAATATAAACACAGCAAGTAAAATTGTTAATAAAAACTTTCATAAGTAATAGTAACAAAACTCCAGAAAAATATGCGAACATAAGAAGTCAAATACGGCTTTAAATCAGTTGGTTAAGGTGCGCTGATTCTGAACTTCACATTTGGCAGGACCCGAGTTCGATTCCTGGTACTTGCAGTCTCCAAAAATAATTATTTACGAATAATTAAATACAAGAATTATTTCCAAGATCACTGATGATGGGTATTTGGCAATACTCGAAACAGCTGTATGGTCAGCCAAAAATTCAATTAATTAAAATAATTTAAAAAATAAATTTTTGTTGTTGTTTCACTTCTGTTCGAAAACCTCTTTATTAAAATAATATAAAAACGAATTTTTGTTGTTGCAGTTCACTACTTTTCGAAACCTCTTCATTAAATAAAATAAATATATACAGAGAAATTCGTAATTTAAATCCAGAGAAATTCCAACATAAAATGTGTTATGCAGTTCACCAAATACTTCACTCCAAAAGGCATAAAAATATAGAAGCCCAAGTTGAAGAATAAAATATATATTAAAAACTAAAAGCATATAAGGATTTTAGATTGCTATCAAAAGTAAGTGACAGATAGGTTGACAATATGAAATAAATCATATAATCATTCAAGATAAGCATTCAAAAGAATAAGCAGAAAAATGTTATTCAAACAAATAACTTTATTTACCTTTGTTTCATTACTTAGGTTTAATTAGATTTATTTGATGTTTTTTTTTAACGTACTTTATGTATTAATCGCTATCATGCACATTGCATATTTAGAGATAAATTTTGATATTTTTTGATATTTGAACTCTTCAAAAGAGATCGCATGAACAGTGCAAGGCTTATTGCAGTTTTTTCTAGTCATTGGTGTATAGGAACCCACACAGAGAAACTGCGCATTCTTCTTAATCCTCACTGCAGAAGTTGTGAAAACCCGAAGGAAAAAGAAACCATAATACATTTTCTTTGTGAATGCCCGGATTTGGGGTCCAGAAGATATAGGTTCTTAAGAAGATACTTCTTTCACAGTTTATCAGAGTGTTCAATTTTATTTAATATATGAGTGTCCAATATTTTACAAGAGTTTTGCTACATTCATAATTAATGGACCCTTTTCACATTGTATGGTTGGCTGATTGATTTTAGTGAAAGCAAAGCTTCTTATACTGTTCATTAGACACAATACAATTTTGCATAAAAACTTTATCTTGTTTCGAAGGAAATTAAATTTCAATCTCGTTTAAAAGTAAGTTTTTAATATTTGTATGGTAAGTTAAATATCTGATTTGTCAACAAATTTACTGTTGTAAGCTCTAGGCTAAACCACTGCTTTTATCTACTTTTAATCTCACGGTGCAAACATTGTATAAGATGGCATTTTTTCTGTACCCAAAAACTAAAATGAATTTAATTTTGCAGTCTTAAAATTCCGAGGGGTTCCTCACATTTATGTCATCGTAAAAATAGAAAAACGATGCAAGTATATTTATTTCATCTTCGTAATTAAAAATAAAACACTTTGGGTATAACGATGACTCTCCATAAACCAAAATTTTAAGATATTAGCTAGATTAAACTAAAGATTTCCCAATTTAACTTAGTACATTTATAAATAATGTACATATTTGAAATTATGTTAATTAGTTATTAGTTATTATACATAACATATGATTAATAAGTCTGTTGACATTTACATTTTTACTGTTATTATTATTTTTCACTTATTGTTTCAAATTGTATTTAACATGAGATAAGCTTAATTAAACATTTATAATAAATTGTATTAATTTAATTCACACATAAAATAATACATTAATTGATGTGATACGAACCATACAATAAAGTCTTTTGTAAATAGATTAACGCAGATCTGCGTATAAAATTATATGTAAAAAATAATATATTTTCACTTAAACGAAACGAAATCTCTTAAAATAAACATTGTGTGTACATGGAGCAATAAAACTGTTTTCGGTTATTTTACAAAAAGGATAATTAATTCCAATAATAGCACAAAAAAAAACGAATATCGCTAGCAGAAAAATATTTATCGCCAGCAGGAAAATCTGACTTAACAAGGCCGTTATAGTTTTTACGAGTATGTCATTGTGCGTACAAATGTCAACCAATTTAATAAAAATATGCAGATACATTCAAGAGAACTGTATTAATTTGAACTATCAAATTTAATTGGCAATAAACATTTAAGCACTCGGTAAATTCATTTTATTTATTAAAATTTATGATAGTCAATATTACAAGTTTATTCATTTTAATACAGTTAATGTAAAGAATTATTTCATATTTTGATTTTAATAAAGTGCAATTAGTTACATTAAAACTCAATTTATGGATTTTTTTAACCATAAACACAAAAGTCTTCCGTATATTATAAACAAAATCATCTCATAGATGATTAAGTTATATATGAAACCATATTTGATATGCTTTACGTCCACATAGCAGATAATTACATCAACTAAATTTTGAGTAAAAGAACAGTTGATACCTTTATGATAATACTCCTCAGAACTGGATGTCTAACTTATATTAAATTTTTATACATAGTCTTTAAAATTTAAGAAATTATTATGAATTTTATCTAGAAAGATTCAACAAATAAGCGTGAAACATTGAAAAAAAAATTTATTTAACCTTATAAGGTTAGATTAATAATAATAAACAGTAATAAAGCTTGTATTAAAAACAATATTATATTAATTTGCACATCAATTAGACTTAAAAACATGTTACCGTTATCTACCGAAAGGTTCTATATATAATTTACTCTTTATTTTAAAAATAAGTAAATTATAAAAATATTAAAAAATAATTTAGACATTCTTCTTTTTACTTGTCAAATAGGCCTCTTAGTTCCTCCATCGTTATCTACCGATTTGTAAAATACTATTTATCTGTTTATGTTTAGATATTTTCAAAAAAATTTTAACTTATTTTTCTGTTTTAAGTGGTTTTTATTGCTAATTTCGTGAAATTATGTTTGTTTTTTTTTCTTTATTATTTTCCTTATTACATTTTTTAGCGCAGTTGGTTGGCATTTTGGCTGTAATTTGTTTCAGTAAATATATTTAAACTAATCTTGTTATCTATTGTTTTATCACAACTCGCCATTACTTATGCTGAAATAGGCTTCGGTGTAAAAGTTCATCACTTCAACCTGTAAGTCAGTGGTTCCTAACCGTGGTCCGTTGTGTCCTGTAGTCCGCGAAATGGTTAAAAATGACTCGTGAATCAAATTTAACAGGTCTGGATAAATAGTTTGTGGTTTGTTCACTGACACCTCACTTATTAGAAAATAAGCAAAAAAAAATTTCCAAGTTACTATATAACTATTACATAGTTTATTTAATGTACCTGTGCACTTATACAATTCATTATACCTTATACCAGAAATGCATTAAGCATATTAAAGTAATCATTCAGTTTATTATTCTTAAACTTAGTGGTCCGTACTAAACACAAAAATATCATAGTGAACCCTGGTCAGATAAAGGTTGGAAACGACTGCTGTAATTGAATACATATATGTTATCATTATGTAATTTCAATTCGATCAGATATTATTATTATTACTATTATATATTATTATTATTATTAGTTTTAAATTGTATTTCAAAAGAAAAATATCGACAAATAATTTAAGAACATTTTTTACTTAATTACTTCATCAACTTAATTACTCTATTAAATATTGGAATAAAAAATAATTTCTTATTCTGAAAAAATAGAAGCAGAAAAATGATAACAAGTTTAGAAAAATCGTCGCTAACTAAGATAACAAGTGATATATATATGGATCAGGAATACTCAGTCGCATTTGAACAAGAACATTTAAATGAAATATAAAGTGAAGCTCTACCTAATACATTGCATATTTTTTTCTCATTTAATAAAAAATATTAACAGGATCATCAAATCAGGAACTCGATTTCAATTTCAGCACGCAAATATTTCGAATACATATACAAATATCTTCACCATTGCTGTGAAGGAATACCTTAATTGGTCGTAATGCAGGGATTTACAGGAGTTTAAGCTGAGAATGTAGGGGACTTTTTAGTCCGTAGGCATATATGACTCAATTGGGTCGTGCATGAATCGGGCATGCAAATGGTACGGGCCGATACCAAAAAAAAAATATCTTCACCATTGATTTATCATATTTAAGTGAACTATTTCATACGTTTTCTTGTCCTAGTAAATTATTGTTATATGTATATTAATTCGAAAACACTTATAGAAAAGAATATGGTCATCGTGACATATGTCATTCTTGTCTATGCGGCAATATTCTAATTTCAAATACACTTTTTCAAATTTTTATTTTTTATTCTTTAGTTTTACATGGTATTAATGCCATTATTATATTTTTTGTACTCATATTACTTAACGAAAGTATCTTAGCGGGATTCATGTTATCATTTCTGGTTAATATCATCACATCTAATATAATGATTGTTTGTTAAATTAATAACACTTATGTTTTGTAATTTTTTTCAAGTCGATTTTAAATCTTGAAATTTTTGTCCTTTCTAATCAAAATGTCAATGACTTTACCTTTTCGTACTTAAGAGTATTTATATTTATCGCAAACAAACTAACTTAATTAGTAATTTAATATAATAGGCTTTAAACATATTATCTGTTTTATTATTATTACTTCTTTAATTATATTTCGTTAATGAACCCTAAAATTTCATTTGGCAATTAAATGCCTTTGCTTGAATTACAAAAAAGCATTCTTCCTTAAAGTCAAATGAATTCTTAAATTGACCAAAAACTAAAGAGCAAAAACTCAAACGAATCTTAAGTTTGAATATTTAAGAAAAAATATTTAAGGATTACTTTTTTGTTTTGTCATTATTTTTATTTTTCATTTGTACTTGCAAAACGTTTCTAAGAAACATGCGTACAAATACTTCCGAAGCTTTTACGTTTTGTTTACATTTGATGATGGACATTTTCATTCATAGATTCGTTTGAACTTATATTTAAGCCGTGGATGTGAGAAGTTTAAAACAGTTCCGTGCGAGCTTTCAAACGAAAAGGACGAACATTGCGGTATAGTAGAGCAAACGTATTTCGAATTAAAAAAAGAGATATTCAAAAATGTGATTATGAAAAATAATTTATTTATAAAAATTTATTCTTAAATAATTGTTTCAAAAAAGAACCAACAAAAATTTTAATTAAATATAGAGTATTTTAATTAAAACGCATAAAAGTGCAATGACCATAAAAGCCAGTGACTAAAGTGAAATTTTAATCTTATTTTACGGCTTCCATAAACGCAACATAACTTCAGTTTATTGACAAGAATTTCTAACAGTTACGTGCATTCCAGTAGCATTTCGTGGGTACTCTTTGCAATGAGTTTGAATTCAATTTGTATCTTCGCCATTAAATTAGCAGTTGTGTCAGTTGTGAAAATGTCATTACGTGTTGTTTATGTCCCGTTTGCATTCTTGCTCCAAAACGCTTAGGATGCTTACCAATTTGCACGTAACCAAATTCAATTGACCGTAGAAGTGCGCGTGTTCTGCATTTATCTGTCTGTCAGCAGCGTTATTAGTGCATAACTACTTTAGGAGCTCACCTTGGACGCAGCTTATTTTGCTGCTTGTTTTGCTTATCATATTATGGCCATTCTCCAGTCGTGCTGTTTTTGGAAAACCGTTCGAAAGGGCAGTTTTGCAAGTGCAATATACACATTGGTATGTAAAAATAAATAAATTCGCCACCATATCACATTATGCAAATCTCTATATTTATTGAAATAAATAATAAATTATTAAGATTAGAACAGTTACAAGTTTACTATCCGAGTTCAACACAAGTAAATTACTGAATCCATAATTTTATGAATGAAATTTTTGCATTCTATGTATTAGTATGAGGATTATAAGCACAAAAATTTAATAGATATGATGTCATTTGCAATAATGTAGAAAAATTATAAGCATGAATATTGATATTAAGTATCAATCAGTGATAAATTAATCTAAATGGTCATTAAAATTTATTTGTTAAAAAAAAAAAATTATTAAAAAAATTTGAATAACTAGCACATACTCATTCGTGAGGTGATCCATTGGTCTAGAAAACCACAAAAATTCTTTGGACAATTCTTTGAAAATTCTTTGAGTTGTATTTTTAATATTTCAATACATCAAAGAATCATATATTCGAAGAAACATATAGCTTGGTGAGGTGACCCCTTGGTCTAGGAAACCACAAAAATTTTTTGGACGAATGAGTTGTATTTTTAATATTTAAATATTTTAAAGAATCATATATTCAAAGAAATATATACTTAAATATATGTTAAGCATATATCTTATATCTCAAAATGGCTAAACCAAATAGCTTAAATTGTATAACAAAAAATATTTTAACAATAGAACAAATATTTTTAATATAGGTAAATACACATATCTTATTCAATATATATATTTTAATTAAATGGCTTGTGTATTGTTAGGTTTGAAAGTTATACTGTTCAGCACTTTTTAAAACTTTTCGATTATTTTGCGAAAATTCTCATAGTTAGTTAGTTGCGGTGGAGGCAGTACAAGTCCTCCTCAATTAGCTAAAAAAGCCGTTCACAATTCTCTTACTCCCAATATTTTTTAGGTAGTTTACAAATTTATATTTTAAAATTCTTCAAATATTGATATTAACAAATAAAAGTATTTAAAAGTTCTGTTAAGTGTCACATTCAGGCCAGCATTTAAAGATACTAAATATCAAATTCAAGTTATTTAAATGATATATAATTTGTTACAGTTCATATATGAACAGAAAATAGAAGTATTAGAAATAGGAGTATTACCAGAAATTTATTAACATTCAGACAAAGCGATATAATTTTAAGAATATTTTATTTGCCCAAACAATTTTAAATTACTTTTAAAATTTTATTTATATTTACTTGATATCTATGTAAAAGGCTTGTACTCTGACGCGCACTGCTCAGTACTTCACGAAGGGCGTCTCAGCGGGCAAATTCAAATTAAGTCTGACGTCCGACAAAGTTGCATTCTTTCACCTATACTATTTAATATAGTCTTAGATGTGGTTATGTCGGAAGCTATGAGCACAAATCATGGCATCTCATTCGGCCTTCATAACAAACTTACTGACCTTGATTACGCTGATGACATCTGTTTACTAACACATAACTTTTCCCAGATGCAAATATCGTTAAACAACATCGCAAAGCGTGCACTGGCAGCTGGTCTGTCAATCAATATCAACAAAACCAAGTCTATGCGTCTCAATTCAAACTGCTCAACGAAGTTTCAAATAGATGACTCCTACATCGAAGATGTACAAAGTTTCTGCTATCTGGGAAGCTACATTTCGAACAACGGCGGCAGTCGGCAAGACATACAGCACAGGCTATCGAAAGCGAAGCAAGCGTTTGGAACCCTTAACAAAATCTGGCGTTCATCCAACATCACACAACGCACTAAGATACACCTGTACAATGCAAACGTAAAATCAACTTTACTATATGGTAGTGAGAGTTGGAACCTAACGGCAAGAGACGCACAACAGCTACAAGCCTTTGTCAATCGTTGTCTACGACGCATCCTTCATGTATTCTGGCCAGCAACCATAACCAATAATGAGCTCTGGTTTAGAACGAATCAGCCTCTTATAACTGATGAAATAATGATGCGCAAATACAAATGGCTTGGCCATACGTTAAGAAAACCCGCTGATGATATCGCAAGAAATGTCTTAGATTTCAACCCTCAAGGCAGTAGAAGACCAGGGCGTCCGCGCAACACTTGGAAACGACAAACTGAAGCCGAATTAAGAAATGCTGGAAAGAGCTGGAGTGAAACAAAACGCCTTGCATTAGATAGAGTTCAATGGAAACTATTTGTTACGGCCCTCTGTTCCACCTAGGAATAAAAGGATTAAATATAAATATGATATCTATGTAAACAAGCTATAGCTTGTTTGAAAGTGGATTATATATTTAGCAGAAATGTATGCATACTACCAGACAGTCAAGCTGCTTGAGTTCAGTCCAACTCACATCTAGGACAATTTCTGACTGCTACATATCTCTAAACGAGATGTCGACGCAGCTCAATACTTCTCTAATCTACGTCATAGGAATATTTTCGGCAACTGCAAAGCAGATGAGCTAACCAGAAGAATAGCTCAGGACCTCACTCAGAACACCTAATTAATTTGATCATTTTTCATTAAAAATAAATCCAATAATCTCATTGAGATGCCCCGCAGAGATATCAGTCTTTCAATAGGTTTACTTACAGGTTATTGTAATTTAGGAAATCTTCCTAGAAAATTGAATCTCCACTGTAATCATATCTGTCGCAGCTGTGGGGAAGAAGATGAAAAGGCCCTCATGTACTCTGTTTTTACCCAGCTTATGCGACGAAATACTTTAGGGGTCCCCTTCCTTGAGGGTCATGATCAGTTACAACACCTCCCACTAAACAGCATTCTAAGATTCGCCACAGGTTCTACGTGGTTTTAAACCCTAAGTTTCTACATTACACGATAACAAAATGGGCCAATTGGCCTAAGTAGATCCCCTAGGAATTACCGGTATAACTTAACCTAACATACTTGATATCTAAATAAAAACAAATTATTTTGATTGTTATTGGAACAAACCGTATCTATAATAAATAAAAATATTTTCTAGTAAAGAATGCAACTAATCTCCTATTGATTACAGTAGATAATTATAGTATCGTGTAGTTTGTGAATAACGCCGAAGTAAACCACTACATTATTGATAGTTATTGTGAAACAAATTAATTTAGTCATGTCAGATGTATAGTCTACACATATAGCTAGTTTCTTATTATTATTCTTAGAAGTCACAATGATTAATTGTGAACAATGAAATGATTTGTATTATCGGTAGAGAGATTCAACTAGGTTAACCAACATAAATTAATCTTATTAATAGATCTAGTAATATACCTTGGTTCAAGTATCCAGACAACATTCAATTTAATGAAACAACTCGAGCAAATAAAATGCTATTTACTCTAAATCTTAAAGCATTTGCAGATATCAATATCCTGCAGATATTAATGAAAGGTTATAGTTAATAAACGCACATCTTATTTATTTAGTTGTAAATAGATGCAACTAAAATCAGTAAATGGAAGAAAATGGGTTGATATATTCATCTATCATTTATAAAATAAAAAAATATATTTTTATTCTGTTCTGTATAACATAGGTATACATATGTATTCTGTTCTGTGTTTGAACTTAAAATTTTAAATATAACCACAAAAAAAAATATTTTCTTGTAACAAGAAAATACGAAGTTTCGCAACTTCAAAAATGCTAAACCTTCATTTTTTGTATTTTAAAATGATGTTTAACAAACAAATTTTGTACACAAATTACTAATTATTAATTAATAATTAATGGAATAATGGTCTTAATGGTATTTGCATTAAGAACTCATGTCTGAAATTTATCAATGACAAAATATGAGAACTCTCAATAAATTTAAATTATAATTTAATAGAAATATGTGAATTGGAAAAAAATAAATAATTTTTTCTTATAAAACAACCCAAAAAGTAATATTTCATAACTTTACATCTTGTCCCAGAAAAAAAAATTTTTTTTTGCTAACGAAAAAGTAAAATTTGTCAAAAAATCAGTCGTTAAAATTAATATGAATTGAAGTCTTCTTAGTTAAAGACAAATAATTCTTTTAGAAAAGAAATTAAAAATGAAAACATTTTAGAAAGAATGAACAAAAAACATTGCCGATAGGAGCGGAAATAATTTTTCGGATGTCAGTTACTGAAAAGGATTTGAAATTTTATAAAAACACAATTTTAAAATTATAATAAATTTCGAAATTAAAAATTGAAAGGGTTTGAAATATTTCATACTTTAAGAACTCCTAAACCCTCAAGTAACTTTTCGAGTAATAGTTAATTTGAATCGCAAAATACTTGTATTATATTTACAAAACTTTTATCCATTATTTTTACTATTCCATTATACGATACATTTTAATACTAGTACTAGTTTTTCCTATTCATTTATATGATATATTTAAATAGCATATTCACTTTTCAATCACAATATACTTATATACTAATTAAATTAAGGTTTTGAATAAATTTTTATTTCAACATATTTTTGTAATTTGGTTATCAAGTATGAAATGCATTTGAAATACATGCATGCAAATAACCTCCATAGAACGTTATACAGTACTAGATCTTTCAGAGGTAATTTTCAATGACTTAACGGTACACAGCTGGTACTAACTTGGCCATAACTAGTTGCATGTTCGTTCTCAAAGCGTCATTAGTTTTAGGATTTACAGCATAAATATGATTCTTTGCGTAACTCAACAGAAAAGTCCAGTGGTAACAAGTTGCAAAATTTTTACATGACTAAAACGCGAAGTGGAAAATTTCTCACTTAATAAACCCAATACCGGAAATGTTCTATAGAGAATAGAATAGTTGGCTTGTTTTACGTCTTCGTCAGCTATCACAACAATTAGCTATAACAATTCCACACCAAATATCACAGCATATAATGACTTTTTGTGGGCGTAGTGGTTTTTCGACAGTTATAATTTTATAAGAAAGAATTTCATTTCCACAGATACGACAATTTTGTTTGTTTTTGTATCCACTAAAGACAAGTAAAGCACATCACTGAAGAATATTAAAATTGT